CGCTGAAACATAAGGGAGGGGGTAGCTATCATTCTCTGTGCATTTATTTAAAACCCTATAATCCACACTAAACCTATAAGACCCATCCTTCTTTCAGATCATAACTACAGGGGACGCCCAAGGACTATGTGACTTCTCAATGACACCCTTGTCGAGCATGTCTTAATTCCTCGTCAATACGCGACTGTATGACGGGAGACATGGGGTAATAACGCTGTTTAACAGGTTCGACCCCTGCCTTGATCCTAATCCTATGCTCGACAAGGTGGGCTCCACCTAACCCTTCTGGCATAGCCTTGAACGATCGGGCGACTATCTCCTCTAAGGCCCTAGCCTCTCTGCCAGTGGAGTGGTCCACTATCGCCGCCAGCGACTCCTGTTCCAGTTGAGAAAAGCTCCACCTCATCTTCATAAAATCCGGAATGATACCCGCCTTGGTCCAAAAATCGACACCAAGGATAAGACTCTGAGGCAAACCGGGGACTACGAGGCACTCCAGGAGGACCGACTTGCCCTCCACCTCGATTGGCAACGAAACCGAACCTAAAACCGAAATATGGCCTCCATCCGCCAAAGTCACTTTTAGAGAGTTGGGTAAAGAAGTCGCGCTAATGCCCCAAGAACTCAAAATACTCTACCCGAATTTACCGATCACCGTCCTCGTCGCTCCAGAATCCAACAACGCTCGAAAAGTTCAACCAAAAATTCTTATGTCTAAATACGGACACTTATCGAAGCCATCCGCCACCAAAGAATATGCTAACTGAACATTCGATTCACCGAAGCCTACTTTTGCCAGCTGGGAATTAGCAGGATTACTAACTCGCCCTATTAGTCCACCCGACCTGCCGTCCCAGGGGTCTACCTCCCGTTCACCGACTTCTTTTGCGACCTAACATTCGACTTCGAATTTGACCAACTATTCGCCCTACTATTCCACTTCTACTCCGACCTAAACGGGTTGTCCTTCCGCCGACCACCTCCACCCGGGCTTCGCTGGGTACCCTGGACACCATTCCGCTTCGCTGCACACACCGGACAGTCCCGCTTCATGGCCCCAGGCCTACCACCGCCGAAGTACTTACTTTATCCCCTTCCTACATTCGGCTGATACATGACCGAACCGCTTTCAATTAAAACAACGGGTTTTATGGCCCGCCCTAAACCCTTCGCTGTCCTTTGGTTCCGCCACCGCTGCAACCTGTACATCCACCGAGGCATAGGCCAGGTCAGGCTCCAATAGAACCTTGGCATTGTAACTCGGTGGGGGACAAAAGCTTCAACCGACGACCTAACCGTTTCGAACTTCCTACCTAACGCGACTAGTTCCGCCACTGACCCCGGTGTAACTAGTCCCAACTGGGTTTGATGAAAGGGGAGAAGATTCGCCCTAATGGTCCCTAACATCCTACTCTCGGACAAAGGCTCCTGCAACCTTCCAAACATGATTTTCATCGCCGCCACTTACACTCCGATGGACTCATTTGCTCCCTGAGTCCGCCGGCGTATCTCGTCCATCAACAAATCGTCGTACTTGGAGGGCAGACATTCTAACTTCAACTCCCTGACCAGTTCCTCCCAGCTACCTAACGACCTCCTTCAGTTTCAGTTCTACCGCGTCCCGGTCCTCCTCAAAGCTAAACGGGTAATCCTGGAAGAGGTCCACCGACCCTGTTCGCTCCAAAAGCCTGGACGCCCGCGACGACTTCCGCATAGCCTCCACCGACGAAACCGAGAGACCCCGAGCCTCCATCTCATACGCCAACTCCTCTTGCGATAATCTATTAATTTCCATGCCGAATAAAGCAAACAAATCCGCGAAAAGCAGCAAAAAAACTAGTGAAATAAAATAAAATCAGCGGAAGCAAAAAACTCTTTAAAAATTCCAAAGGCAACCGAATAAATCAAGAAAACCCAACCGAAAAAACCGAATTAAAAATTAATAAAACCGCAAAAAATAAAAAATTTCAAAGCCGACCGAAGTTGAAAACCCGCAAAATAAGAACCCTAAAATAAATTTTAAGTCTAGGACTAGTTATGGCTCACTTGAGACCACTTCGCGACCGGTTGGTATCCTAATGCCTACACATTAACTTACTGCTGGATAGTAAGCTGCCCTATACTGGCACAACAAAATGACCCTATCACGCGAGACAGCAATAGAGCCTAACCACAAAAAAAAAACCAAACAGAATAACACGTACTACCAAATAAGACGGCACAAGCAATTACAGTGTTTGCTTATAAACTAAGTTACAGTTTACGTTTAGGTGTATGTATACTTCACCAAAAACAAAGTGGAGCGGCCAAGCTAAGTTATCAATAAGTTTTTATTATATATCTTTGATAAGCTTGAAAATTAAGGCAAAATACTCCCAACCTCTTGGGAGTTTACTCGGAAGCGCTTCAATATTTTCGTTGGTTTTAGATTTGTTTTAATTTTACCGGCCTAACACTTATTCACTACTACTTATCACTTTTCACATGCCGAATGTCCGTCCGCACTTTATGTAAACGCACGCCACTACTTCTCTCCAGATAATGGTCCGGTCCTGAAAATTTCCGCCAACGCACAGTCTACAGTACAACACTCCGTATGGCTCCGTGACGCCAAAAATTACCACTTGAAGATGTTCGCCCGACAACCTCTAAACAAAATACACCAAAGGCACGAGTAATACGTTATCAAAATTTCGCCAAATATGGACAAACTCACGGTTCTCCTCGGAATACTACCGTTTCGTACGTATAAAAAAACAAAATTGTTACCCTCCAATCGTCCGTTTCCACGCCGCCACGAATCGTTAACACAAAATCCTCCTGAATTTCTACTGCCAAAAGGTTAAACAAAAAAAAAAATTAAAATCCAAAATACCAAAAATAAAATTTGTACCACAAACAAAAATCGTGACCCAGCCTTATGTACACAATATATAAACTTCACAAAATATATTTACGTATGTATGTATATACGCGTAGCACAGCACTTTCCACTACACTGTTTTTCTTTAAATTTCTACGCCAAACTCTCACCTGTAGCTTGTTTCTGTAACTCAGTGGAGAAATTGTCTACTGCTATTGACTTTGTTCTTAACCACCAAGCTTTTGTCAATCGTTGAGACTTTAATGTTTCTATAACTCCGAAAACTCACCTATAGAGAAATTCGTGTTGAGTTGAAATTGAAAAGTAAATTTGAAAGTTTTGACATTTATTTTTGAGAAATGAGTATGTTACACAAAATTGTGTAAATCAGCAAATAATAAACAAATGAACAAAATAATAAGAATTAGAGACAACTAACATAATTAATTATTTAACATAAATTTTATAAAATGAGTGAGATACGTGTGATCATTTATGCTATAATGTACGATAACCGAAATATGCTTCGAGTTCAACGTCGGCGGTTGCGAGATTCATGTGATCCATTTATAATCCCTGAGGCGCGTTTCATAGAACTTTTTCGGCTAAATAAAGACGCTTGCATAAATCTTTTGGAGGAAATTAATCCTTTTATGAAGAGTGGTGTTAGGAATACATTTATTCCAAAAATATTTGAGAGTGGTAGCTGCCCTTCATTTTTATGCAACTAGGTCATTTCTGCGCGATATTGGGCAGGATTTCATTTTCCCTTTAAGCAAAACTATGATATCACGCATAATACACGAGGTAACGGATATCATAGTGAGAAAATTAATGAACAAATATGTGAAATTTCCTAGTACAAGCTGAGAGTTCAGCACCATTCAGCAAAGGTATGCAAAAACAAGAAATTTTGAGTTGTGCCGTTATTGCAGAGGACCATCGATATGTATATACAATAGTACTCACATTTTAATTTTACTTTATACAGGTTTCATGTGTGTACAACATTTCCCGGCGTTATAGGAGCAATTGACTGCACGCATGTCAAAATTAAGAAACCAAATACAGATGTGGAGCACTGTTATCATAATCGTAAAGGTTTTTTTTCAAAGAATGTACAGCTTATATGTGACTATGATTTAACGATTCTTGCTTGCTATAGTCGTTTTGGAGGCAGCACTCATGATGCTTTCATATGGAGTAGCAGTCACGCAAAAGCTTTCTTAGAAGATAAACATAGAAGTGGAATATCAAATATATGGCTACTTGGCGATTCGGGGTATCCCCTGCAGCCATGGCTTATGACGCCGATTGGAAATCCGCAATGCGCAGCTGAAATGAAATACAACGAAGCCCATATTCGTGCTAGAAATTGCATTGAACGACTAAACGGTGTGCTGAAAAAAGTATTTGCTTGCTTATCCCAAGACCGTGGACTTATGGTTACGCCATCATTTGCTGGTTCTATAATCAATGCTTGTTGTACATTGCATAACTTTCGAAAGAAATACAATATTGCAATGCCAGATGTTGATATTACCGAACGAAATATACTTGAAGAAGACAATAATCTTAACTTGTCTAATAATATTTTAGCCGAAGGTCGTAGAACCCGGCAAATGATCATCAGAAATTATTTTTCAAATTAGAAAAACTAAAAATGCAGTTTTGCTACATTTGTTTTTTTTTAGTTTCGCGAGTGTAAAACTTACTGTCGCAAGGTGTTAATATTGTGTTCTTTACTTTGTATCTATTGAATAGTTGTCCGTCTGTTTAATGTGTGTACTAAACAATAAACAAGTTTAAATATATATATTTTTGGAATTTTTATTTACTAAGAGCTTTTACAATTTTTTCCAGCAGTTCATTCGTCCGCCGTTGTTCCCCTTTTATCTATTTCAGCTCTTCTTTCACCTCATTCATGTACCTCTCCTGACTGGAAAGGCGAGCTTCAAGTTCTGTTTTTGCCTTCTCTAGCTCCGAATACAGTGGTTCCTTGCTCTGCTTCGAATTTTTAGCTATTTTCCGCCGTGGCGTGTTTATCGGGCTTTTGTTTTTGGAGCAGGTGGTCTTGCTGACAGATACCTCAATGACATCCTGATTCAGGTACTCCTTTTCCATACATATAATGTCATCGTCGAGCGCCGGCTAAATTTTAAGATTGTTATTCAGAGAAAAATTTATCAAAGGAATATATATTATAATTACAAGAGGTATATCGAATCCACCCTCCACAGTTTTGGCATCACCATCAACAACATCCGATACCAAAATGAAGTTAACCACTTCTTCTTCCAAACTATCTAATGGCTCTGGTCCTAAACAGCTTGGAAGGTTTCCCGTCTGGTTTTGAAACCTTTTGATTGCGGAAAATTTTTGCTTTATGGACGCCTTCCAATCAATCCAACACTAAAACAATTTATTAATTAAAATTAAAATTTAATACACAATCAACTACAATATAATATATATACATATGTACATACTCTTTTCCACTGCTCAGCACTTTTATTGGCTCCCCCGATTGCATTTAAATCCGCAGCAACTTCTTCCCACTTTTCCTTAGTTCTCTTGGAGCTATCCGGGCCAGAGAACTGCCCACAAGCCAGCGTACGGTTTTTCCGCATATGCTCGACTAGTTGTTTTTTTTGAATTTGCGTTACGCGCGCTGTTAAACTTTTCTAAAAGTAAAAATAAATTTATATATAACAGATTTTAAATTAAAAAACATGACTTACCGTATTCATTCTCAACTCGTTTTGTCAGTTCTCACTTGCTAAAGAGCAGTTGACAATACCTCTACTAGTAGAGAATTCAAAACTCTACTCCCCACACTTACAGAAACACAATAGTAGAGAATGGCGTCAATTTGACGTCCCATTCTCTACCAGTAGAGAAATAATCGGTAGAGAACAGTTACAGAAACGAGCTACTGAATAGGGTCACCTCATTGTTCTGCAAACCTGCCGGAAAAGATCCCACGTAGCTCGATTCTTCTAGAAATTAAATTTCCTCTAACGACGAGGGCCCCACGTTGGGCGCCAATTTGTCACCGGTGCACTAATATCAAATCACCTACCTAATGTACCAACTAAATGCACTTACCGTGCGCAACAACAATGCAACGGGCCAAACCAAATAAACAAACGACCGCACAAAAAAGGAGATGAAAAAAAAAACCAATCAATCGGCTGACTCAGTGGAGAAGGCGGGGTTGCTTGAGGGGGAGCAATAAGGCAGTATACCAAATACCTAGCGCAAACTAAGTTCAAATTGGACAAAAACAATGTAAGCTAATACCCAGCAAACATTGAGGTTAGTTATGTAATGTATTTGCAATAAAATAATAACGAATTATTTGAACATAAAAAAAATATGATTATGATGAATATTGCTTATTTACATTTATTTGAATTTGCGTTTTTTCTCTAATCGTTCTCGAATCGGATTCTAATATAGTTCTCTAAATTCCGTCATCGACTCGAGAACGATTAGAGAAATACCCTAGTTATCTAATGTAGAAATCCAAATTTCTCTAACGTTAGAGACTGTGTTTGCTGGGTATGTACAGTAGATATACGTATATGTGTGTAACACTGACACTAGGGTGGGGGCTCCGACCGCGAGGTGCTCCTTGGGAATGTGGTTCCCAAATCCGGTGCCGACTATAACGCGCCTCGACTGGCGCCGCTCTCCAAAAATTTTGCTGCTGCTGCAATAGTGCCTCGTCCGGCACTTTAAAAAATTGCTTTTTACCAAAAAAACGCAGCTGCCAATAATATTAACAAAATATGCTGCGCTCGCAATACGGGTGTTGCCTGACTCGATGCTCGTTCAGATCTGCCCCGGCACGCAGTTGCGAGCCAGGCCGCAACCTACGCACCGGTAAGCAAACCGTTGGCGTATCAGCGCCAGTTTTGTTGGTGCCCGATAAATTGGCGCCGGCCCGATCATTAGCATTAGCGGTCGCCACCACGGCGCACACAAACAAAACCATGGACTTGCCATTCCCATCATACGGCGGACAACAAAAGTGCCCCAATATGTGAAAGCAAAGGCGACATATCTACTACGGTCTTTCGCGTCATCTCTCATTCCTACATTCTTAATTTCGGTCAGCACCGTTTTGGGGCGGAGTGCCCTAATGGAGACTTTTCCCCTTTGTGGTGGCGCTCCACCGACAAACAACTATTTCGCTCAACTTGATCTCAGCCTACTATTTATTTGGTATATATATACATATGTACACTTGAGTGCCGGTAGACTTCACTCCTATCGGTTGGAGTGAAAGACTCTTGAAGGTGTTACATCATGGCTTTGGATTACGAGCTGACGTAGACGAATAGCTAATACTGCCGATTGGAGCTCCAAGCGAAGAATGGAGGTCAGTTCCAACGGGGCACATCTGGTCTTTCCCGACACGAACGCTAATTGAACAACTCCGGATGCTTCTACAATTCTCCAGTAAGCTACCGCCGCATAAGCTAACTCACGCGCATCTGAAAAGATGTGCAGTTCCACTGGTACGGTCATAAATGAAGTGCTGTAACATCGCGGTATGCTGAGGCTGGCTAAATTTCCAAGCATCTCGACCCATTTCTTCCAAAGGACTCCTGCATCTGGTGGTATTTCATCGTCCCAATCAACCTGCTTCCTCCAAGTCGTCTGTAGTAAGAGCTTGGCCACCAAGGAATACTCAGCTTCTAGACCGAACGGATCGAAGATAGACTTCGTAACACTTAACGCTTCTCGTTTAGTGTCCAATCTCGTTCCATTCAGTAGATTTCTGTCAACTTTCTCAAACGCTTTGGCTATTTCTCCTCTTCATTAATGATGTTGGTCTACGCTTTAAACATTCAAATTATTTACTGTATGCAGACGACTGGAAACTCTTCCGTAAAATCTCTGTTTATCTCGTATCCCAGTACATACCGAGCACCTTTTGAAACCGCTCGGCTTCTTTATCGAGACTAAAAAGTTGTCGATCTTCCTGGTTTTTGTTAAATGTTCGGTTAACCAATGCGGAGTTAGAGAAAAAGCGTTTAAGGTCGAATCCAGCTCTCTTATGTACCCACACGATTTCGGGGATAATTTTCAGAGCATCACGCTCAGTAGGAAAGGGATGTACCAAATCATCGACATAATGATTATAGCACTGACAGCCTCAGGGAATTTGTTTCTAAACTCCAGAGCATTATACTTTTTAACGTACTGTGCCGAACAAGGCGAACAAGTTGCTCCGAATGTCATGACTGCCATCGCATACTCTTTGATTGGCTCGTTCGAGTTGACTCGCCAGAGAAATCTTTGCGCTGCTTTCACCTGGTGAAACATTTCGACGATATCCGCGCATACCCCGACATTTCGTTGGCGAAATTTCATTAGAACAACTGCTGGAAGCTGGCACTGGTCAAGCCCACTTAATAATGCGGAGTTAAGCGAGCAACCGTCGACTCTTGTTGCGGCGTCAAATACAAGTCTTAGCTTCCCCGGTTTGCTTAGGTTGTATACTGCGAAGTGGGGGAGATACCACGTGCAGCCATCGTTAACTAATAATTTATCATCGCGTAGTTGCCGCGAGAACCCCTTTTACAAATATTCTGCAATAACATTCACATAATCTCGTTTGAAGTTATTATCGCGTTCGAATTTTTTCTCCAACAGAAGCAGCCGTTTTTCTGCCATTATCCGACTATTTGGTAATTCTGGATCTTTATACCGCCATAAGAGTCCAGTTTCGAAGCGCTCACCCTTACGCACCGTCGTACTCTCCAACAGAAACTTGGACCTCTTAACGTCTTTGCTTTCGACGTTCTCAGCACATCGTACACCTAGGTCGTCACTAGCTACGAACTGTTTCACCAGCTGATCAAGTGCGTCGCTCTGGCTACAGCCACATGTGTAAGGAACAACTAGCGTACATCCTCAACCGATTCTCTTCCAGCAGGACCATACACGACCCAACCTAGCTTGGTCATGATTACTGCTGGACCCTTCCAACTATCTCTGGCGACCCGATGTGCAACTCCTAAGTGCGCATTATCAATCCCAATCAGTAACTCTGGAACGACATCGGTGTAGTTGCATAACTTCTTCATGTGGCGATACTTTGATGAAAGCTTCTCAATGTTTAGCGTCTGCTTTGGTAGTCGAAGGTCGGACACCGTATTTACGTTCTTCAGATTAAGTATTTTGCGGTCTTTCGTTATCCCGGAAATTCCAAAGTGCACGCGCGAAGACATCTCCGTTGCTGTGTTACTACCGAATCATTGAAGCGTCAACTGTTCCTTTTTTCCTTCCAACCCAAGTCTCGTGGCCAAACCTTCGTTCATCAAAGTAATCGCCGAACCTTCATCGAAGAAGGCATAACTATTGATTTGTTTGTTCCCCGCATACAACCGTACCGGGATGATTTTAAATAAAACCTTTCTATTTTCAGGCCTAACGGCAGGGTTGGTAAACGTTCGCAGCGCTTGCTGATTATTATTATTATTTATTTCATTTGTACATTCATTCAGAAGCCTATGTGTCCCTCTGGTCGCCGTGCTTTGACTACGGATTGAACAACGATTACCTGAATGCCCCTTCGATGGCGTAAAAAATCGCTGACGCTGATCATCGCCCGATGCCGACTGTAAACGTTCATTTATGTTAACGTATGCCACACAAACTACACGAGCTAATTCTTGCAACGGTAATGCGATAAAAGCATATAATTTGCAACCCCACTGAATTACTACAAACTACCTTATATGAATACGCCCTAGGCTAATCTAGTAAAATTAAAAACATGGAATTTACGATATTTGAATGCGACCCTGTCATATGTATGACAGCTGCTAGGCTTATGTCAAAATGTGAAAAATATATTGGCGGCATTCGCCCGCGTACCTTCAACTCGAACACAAGTACTTTTTCTTTAAATTAAATTCGACCTGATAGCCACCAAGGCATCGGTGCAGTCAGCAGCTTCGGGCAACAAACGTTTGCCTGCACCAACGCAGCCCCAAGCAGGCGTTGGCTGGAATCAGAGCCGGCGGAGCACCTACATATATATATATATAAAAAAAAAAGAATTTGGAAACAAAATGTAACAAAAAAATATAAAACGAAAAAAAAATGAATTAAATTAGTTGAAACAAAATTTGTTGGTGGTAGTTGCAGCCATGGTACAAGTATTTAAAGCAAAGAAAATCCTTACAAAAATTACAAAACTCAAAAACTGACAACGCGCATAAATGCATATATATGCGCATACATACGTGGCGGTTACAAACAGTTACAAAAAAAAAATGTTAATTAAAAATATAAAGTGGTGGCGGTGCAGAAAATTGAAAAATTAAACACTTGAGAACTAAACAAGAAATAAAACAAAATACCTGAATACAAAACAGGAAAAATCGGTAAACGGTCATAAAAAAAAAAAAAAAATACCAAAAAAGCGGTGGTACCCAAATTTTTAATACTTTATGAAACAAAAATGGCTTAAGAACGGAAAACTTGAAATTAAAACAAGAAAAAAAAAAATCAAAAAAAAGCGGTGGTCCCAAATTTGAACAAAAAAAAAATAAATAAAAAGCCTAAAATCTCAACTATGAAAACGCGAAAGTGCTGTACATACCACAGTTAGTATACGTAAAAACGCGTCGTACATCCGTTGTATAACGGCATACAAACCACGCCATCTACCAACCGCAGCTGTACCCTTAAACACGCCATGCAACCGTTGTATAACGGCATGCGCACAACGCCATAAGGAAGCGTCGCTAAGCCTTGGCGCGACGCAAGACAGCGCATCGTTTTAGTACAGACTGCAGCGGGGGACAATCAGCGAAGAAAACAAGCAACAACAACAGCGAGCAGCAGATTCTTTTGGATATGATGCACTACGTGCGAAACAACACAATATCTTTTTCGTAAATTCAATATGTAACAAAATTTTTGTAATTATGTATTTCATATATTTTTCATTATATTCATACAAATTCTTGCTAAATCTTGTTGCTCTATTCAAACTTTTGGATTGTCAAACATACTTTTAATACCTACTGTACTTATTGTACCTACATACATACAAATATTAATACACATTTTTGTCTATACACATATGTATATGTTACTGCTTTTTCTTCTGGAATTTCAGCTTCAGTGGTACAGTGAGGTACAAATATTAATATTTTTTTAAACGTAACTTCAACAATTTAAAGTTTTCACTAAAATTTTTCTTCAATTCTTTGCAACATTAGGCAAGAGTCAGATTTTGGAATTTTCATTAATTTTTCTTTTTTTTTCAAATATTCGATAAAAATTTCATACGAATTTTCGCCTGTGCCATTGCCGTGCTTTTATACTACAACTTTTAGAATTTCGTTTGAAATATGGTAAAATATTTCAACGATTATAATTATCAATAAACGTTTTCCTCAATTTTCTATGCCGTGGTAGCCAAACTTCAAATATTACAACTTTATTCAAATAATTTTTTTTCAATAATACAATAGTTCGATAGTTTTTATAGATCTTTTGCTTTGCGTGTGTGCCAGATGTAAGATGTTGAACTTGTGTTCAAAGATTTTCAACCAAATTTTCAAAAGTTACCAAGCGTGTTCTTCAAAGCCGTCCACTCTCAACAAATCTGGACAAAGTTGACGAATATAAAAAATCTTTAATCGAAACTTACAACGATATTTTAATTCAAGTAAAAAATTCGGAACAACAAGGAAACAAGCCAGCTTCTATAATTAAAAGTTTACCGCGGTGCAGAGAAAAGCTACTTCAGTGTTTTCAAAAAAATTGGGTGTAAAGTTGAAGTACCCGAAGATTTTTCAATTCTTATAAAAGAAGATATTTTAAATTCCATTGCTGACATTGCTGACGCTTGTTCAGCTGGCACACCAGAAAATTCCACCGTTAAAAAAAGTTGTTCTTTTCCTTCATTTAAAGATTTTTTACAAATTGAAGAAACGCCTTGCGTTACGATTAGTTCACCGAATATAAATTTTACCGAATATACAAACGAGGGGAAAATGGCAACACCTGAGCAAAAGAAAACTTTCATTAGCTTGTGTGCATCTATAATCCGAGAAAACTATAGTGGTGACCCCCTATCGCTCGACTCGTTCATTGACAAAATCAATTTAATAGAAGAATTGTCGGATGAAAGTTTAACTACAACATTTATAGCATTTTTAAAGCCAAAACTCGAAGGCAAAGCGCGTGAGGTTTTACCCAGTCAAATAATTTCGGTTGATCAAATAAAAGTTGCGCTACGTAGCAGAATCAAACCAGATAATTCCAAAGTTGTCTCTGGCAAAATCGCGTCATTACATATTACTAATAACAACTATTCCGATTTTGCAAAGCGAGTAGAGGAATTATCTGATGAATTAGAGCGATCTTTAATTATTGAGGGAATGACTCAAGCGAAAGCCCATGAGTTAGCGGTAGAGCAGAAAGTAAATGGTTGCAGGCTGAACAGCCGTTCAGAGCTAGTGAAATCTAATTTGGCATCAACAACCATTACAGATTCAAAAGATGTAGTCGCAAAAATGATTGTAGAACACAATAGTGAAGTCAAAGAGCGGCAGGTGTTATCTTTTAGGTCACGGGCAAATAGACCAAATAGTTTTCGAGGAGGTTTTAGAGGGCCCAACAACTATGGCTATCACAACAATAGTTTCAGGTATAATATCGGCAATACAAATAGGCACAATAATGGCAATAACACAAGGTACAATAGTCAAAATAATTACAATAGAAGTAACAACTTTAACAATGGACAAAATAACTACAGAAATAGCACAAGCAATCGTTCAGCAAGCAACAGAAATAGCTCTTCTCGTTCGAATTCTAGAAACACTTCTAATATTCGATTTTTAAACGCCGATGCCCCTCAGGAGCGAACACTGGGGGAGCAGGAGCTAAGCAATTAAAAGTAGTTACCCCTGAAAAATCAGTTTACTGCTTGAACCTTAACTATTCTGACTTAATTAAATTAAATTGTACCGATTCTTACAAATTATGCTCGTTTCTCGAAGATTCACAAGCAGACATCTCTTTAATCAAGATTTCCAGTTTAGCAAGAAATTCAGCAATTAACAGTAGCAATACCATAAACATCACTGGTGTAACAACTGAAACGGTTACAACATTGGGAACTGTAAGTACAAACTTGGTTGTATCAGGTTTTTTTATTCCGCATACTCTTCACGTTGTAGATGACAGTTTTAATATACCTTCTGACGGCATACTAGGCAAGGACTTTTTAAAGACGAACAGATGTATTATTAACTACGCAAATGACAGTATAACTATCGGCATCGGGACAGAAAGCACTAAAATAGCAATTGTACACGGTTCAAATACCGACACTTTAGTCATTCCTCCAAGATGTGAAGTTTTTCGTTTATTTAAATTGACTAATTCCAAAAACCCTGTTTTCGTAGACTCTCACGAGCTTTGCTCTGGTGTTTTTACATCAAAATGTGTCGTCGACACTAAAAATCCAATTTTAAAAGTAATAATACCACGGACGAGGTAAAATACGTTCGAAACTATAACATCAAAGTTGAGGATATAAGTAACTATAATGTCTACAAAATAAACGAATCTTCCCAAGACACAAAACGTTTAGAGGAACTAAAGTCAACTTTACAAAAACAAATGCCAAAATATGTTAAAAACAAATTGCTCGAATTATGTTTACAATACGCCGATGTATTTGCCTTAAAAACAGACCGTATGACACTCAACAACTTTTACGAACAGAAACTTCGACTGAATGACAAGACTCCCGTTTATATCAAAAACTATCGTTTGCCGTACTCACAACGCGAAAAAATAAATTGACAAGTCGATACTTTACTGCGAAATGAATTAATCGAACCAAGCTCCTCTAATTATAACAGTCCATTAATTTTAGTACCAAAAAAAGATCCATCCGGCCAAAAATCGCACCGCATGTGCGTTGACTTTAGGGCGGTTAATAAAAAGCTTATCGCTGACAAATTTCCACTAGCACGTATGGACGATATATTAGACAACCTTGGTCGAGCAAAATAATTTTCGACTTTAGATCTGTTTTCTGGTTTCCATCAAATTCCATTGCATAAAAACTCACGAGACATAACATCTTTCAGCACTGACGAGGGAGCTTTTCGCTGGAAAGATTTACCATTTGGTTTAAATGTAGCACCGAATTCTTGTTCTCGAATGATGTCAATAGCCTTTTCAGGCATTTCTCCAAATCAAGCTTTTTTGTACGTTGATGACGTCATAGTTATAGGTTGTAGTGAGACTCACCATTTAAAAAATCTAGCTAAAGTGTTCGAAACATGTAGAAAGTTTAATCTCAAGCTAAACCCAACAAAATGCAATTTTCTTCGTTCTGAGGTAACATTTTTAGGGCACAAGTGCTCAGAAAAGGGACTGCTGCCAGACGATTCAAAAATTAACGCAATAAAAAAGTATACAAAACCTTCAGATAAAGACGCTGTTCGTCGATTCGTTGCGTTTGCAAATTATTATAGGCGCTTCATACCTAACTTTGTGTCGATGGCAGCACCTTTGAATAGACTGAGTAGAAAAAATGTCGAATTCTTATGGGACAACGCTTGTGAAACTGCATTTCAACACTTAAAATCAGCCTTAATGTCTCCTAAACTTTTGCAATATCCTGATTTTACTAAGGAATTTTTAATAACTGTAGATGCTCCTAAAAACGGGTGCGGTGCTATATTAACCCTTCGTCTGACACATGAGTCCAGCCAGGCCTTTTCCATTTTAAAATTACAAAAAAGGGTACTTTAAATATAGCTAGAGGCTTGAAATTTCAGGTAGCTTACTAAAGTTTAGTGAATTACCAATCTGTAAAAAATCGTGTTGGTATCATATATATAAAGCTAGATATATAGAGATGTTGATTAATACATCACATTCGTAACACATAGGTCTGGCTGGACCCACATATATTCCTATGTAATTTTAACCTAAAATGAAGGAATGCAACCGTTTTTCAAAGTTTTATTTTGAATTTTTGAATTAGCATGGCAAGAGATGATTTGCATTTTTAACCGACTTCCAAAAAAGGAGGAGGTTATCAGTTCGTCGGAATATTTTTTTTATGTATGTTACCGCATAACTTTGGACCACGTCAACCGATAATTCTTTTTGCATCGGAAAGGTAGTACCTCAGAGGTGGTCCCATACTAATCTGGTTAAGATCCGATCAGTGGATCATGAGCGCTTGGCCTGTAGATGTGCAAACTGGTTTAATTTTTTCGAAAGGTATTTACTAATCAATGCCCTCAGATCCGCACCCTCCGTTCGATTTTCAAAACTGAGGTACCAAACTAAAGGGCTTAGGGTGTGGATGTTCAAGAAGGTTTTACTTTTTCGAAAAAAGTTGCCACCTGTTAAGAAATTGAGCTCAAATTAATTAATAAGTTAAATCAATTATTAAATATGGGTAGCAATCGAAATGGTTTTGAAAAGGTTTTATAACTTAACTATGTATAGGAGGGTTGCCACATGTAAAAAAAAAATTATTCAATTTTAATTATGTAAAGGAATTTGGCAAGTGAATAAGGTATCGCTATATGGGTGTCATATAAAAGAGGTTTAAGAAGGTAGGAGTTTGGAAATATCTTGGATAGGGTTGCCACCTATTTAAGAAGTCTAATTGAATTATTTTATACCCAAGTTATATGAAATATGAGCGATGGATGTCAAATGAAAGAGTTACAAGAAATTATTGGGGGATTCACAACGGTGTCGTAAGTGTCGTATTGTTGTATGTCGTAAACTTTAAAAGCACCACTGAGAAATGGTTTAGATTAATCATTAGGAATATTTTTAGAGGTTATTGAATAGGTTTTCACCTGTTTAAATAGTTTAATTAAATGTTGGCGTTTTGACGTCATGCGGGTTCACTAGTATATGTAGTTTTTTAAATGAGAATTGAAGTCGGTTTTTTTTCAAAAAATTACTTGTTACCTAAAATGATGTTACTCGGAGCTCGCTTGTGCTATGCTAATCCTCTCTTGACCACAGCGCTCAATTTTGCGATGGTGTTGAGGTCTGGGATTTGTGCTGACCACTTCATTACAAGAAAATTTTTCCCAAGCAGCCGGCGGTGTCGAATATTTTCAGAATCCTTTGGATCTCGGTCCTGCTGGCAAACAACTTCTTCCGCAGGGTTTGCGCTTTTGTCTACAAAGTCCGGCAAATTTATTTGGAGGATATGTTCATTATACCTTTTATATTAACCCAAGACACTAAATGCCAGCAAGCAAAACATCCCACGCCATTAAGCTGCCACTTAAATTTTGTAAAAGTCACGAGAATTGGAGCTTTTGCACTTAAAAGGGGTAATATGGTCCGATGGAACGAAAATTAATTGTTTCCAAAACGATAAAAAGGCATATTTTTGGGAAACACCTTATCAACATCTTCAAAAACACCATTCAAAGAAAAACATGTAACATGGTGGCCAGCACAAATCCCAGACCTCAAAGCTATCGAAAAATTGAGCGCTGTGGTCAAGAGAGGATTAGCATAGCACAAGCGAGCTCCAGTAACATGAAAGAGCTTTGGAGGTGAGCAAAATTATAATGGGGTAATATTCCAAGCGAAATCATAGAAAACTCAGTAGAGAACATTCCCGGACGTATGAAAATCGCTATTAAAAGCAAAGGAGTCTCCACAATCCTCTTGATATATACCTCCTAAAAGTTCAAAACTGAGTGAAGATAGTTGCCTTGCGTTTTTGCTGTGAATCACTTGTTAATTTTTCTATTTACTGGGCCTTATACCCTAGATAATAAGGAAAAATTGCTGAAAATTTCAAAGCAATCCGCTTATTATTAAAAAAGTTATGTTACTGTAAGTAATAAAATGTCGAACATGCACCCGGTTTTGATCGCCAGTGTATTTAAATAATAAAATAAAAAAGAAAGCCCTTAAATTAAGTAAATATTTGAATAACATACAATAAATAAGTTTAATAGAACAAATGTTGCACATAATTTCTATATAAATTCATACAATTTGCATGTGGGTCCAGCCAGACTCATGCGTACCGAATGTGCCAATCGAAACATGTGTCTGACGGAGAGTTAAGCCAAAATCATAATGGCAATGACTTACCAATATGTTTCGCTTCTAAATCTTTCAACAAAGCAGAACAAAGTAAACCTATTATAGAACTAGAACTTTTAGCTATATATTTTGCTATTAAGCAGTTTCGACCTTATGTTTACGGCACTCACTTTAAGGTGAAGTCTGACCACCGACCCTTAGTGTATCTTTTCAATATGAAGGACCCGTCTTCAAAACTTGCTAGAATATAGCTAGAACTGTCAGAATACAACTTTACAATTGAATACATAAAAGGTAAATCAAACGTGGGAGCAGCCGCACTTTCACGCATTACCATTAACGAACTAAAAGACTCGACAAAACATGTTTTAGCTATGAAAACGCGATCTATGACAAAAACGGTAGAATTACTGAACGAAAACAACAACACGTACAGCCCTACAGTACAAGTTTACGATAAATTTTCATATAATTTTTCAAAAGATATACCGCGAATAGTAACGCATTTTCGCTAAGATAAAGATAACAGAATTTCAAATATTCAAATATGTGCACATTTAAAACACAAAAAACAAGAATTACCTAATATTGCGAATGTTAACGAAACAGCTTGTTTAGACGAGTTACTTTTGAGGCTTGATGCTGAAGCCGGCAATCGCAATATTAAGCAAGAAGAGTGGCCAAAAGATGATATATTTTTCAATAATTTCTCTATTTCTAATTTAAAAACCAGCGGTAATAATATTTTAAAATTTTTACAAATCGTATTAACAGAACCGGTAGAAACAGTAACTGACGATGATAAAAAGTTAAAGTTAATGACCATTTACCATAATGACCCCATAACAGGCGGACACTGCGGAATTAAAAAACTTTATGCAAAATTACGTACAAAATATCACTGGAAAAATATAGCCCGTGATATATCCAAGTTGGTTAAAAATTGTTCAAAATGTTTATTAAACAAGGTTAAACCTAAAAACAAGGAAAATCTTGTTTTAACGCCAACACCTTGCAAACCATTTGACATTATTGTAATCGATACATTAGGACCCCTACCAGAATCAAATAATGGTAATAGGTTCGCAATTACCATTATATGCGATTTAACAAAGTATTTAGTAACAGTAGCTGTGGCAGATAAAAGCGCTAAAACTATTGCATCTGCCATTTTCGAAAGTTTTGTCTTAACTTACGGTGTAATGAATTCCATTAAATCAGACTTAGGCACCGAATTTAAAAATTAAATTTTTTCCGAATTAACCAAACTTTTAAAGGTTAAACACGATTTTTCAACCGCACACCAATCTGAAACTGTGGGTACTATCGAACGTAACCACGGAGTTTTTAATGAATATTTACGCGCATATTTAAATGAAACATTTTCCGATTGGGATGTTTATTTGAAATATTTTACATTTTTGCACAACACAACAACTAACACAGTTTTCGATAATAAATTTTCCCCTTTTGAATTAATATTTGGGAATAAGGCAACAGTACCTCAAGATTTAAAAAAAGATAAAATTGACCCGATTTATAATGTAGAGAATTACGCGAAAGAAGTTAAATATCGAATGCAAAAGTCGCACAAAATGGTTAAAGAATTAATTAATAAACACAAAATTCGAAATAAACTAATATATGATAAAACAGCGCGTCCGTTATCTATTAACGTTAATGACAGGGTTCTTGTTCAAAAAGAACCACGCAATAAGCATGAAAACATATACCAAGGGCCATACGTTATAACAAAAATTGACGGTGTAAACGTCACAATTTTTGATGAAGCAAAAAACGAAGAAAAAACAGTACACAAAAATAGAATTCATGAAATAAAATAATACAAAATTTTCTTTATATGTATATACGTATATATATTACCTTTAATTTTTCTTTTTATTATCAACTAAAATAAAAATTGTACAAAACAAAAATAATAATTTTAAATGTATACATTTTCAATACGAAAATTACCTCAAAAAATATATATATATTTTCCCACAAAATTATAATATAGGACTTTGTTCCAAAATATGAAATGAATTTATTAAACCGAAAACATTTTTCATACATTGCTAAAATTATAACTCAGAAAATCTAAATACAAATATTAAAACAAAAAAATTTTAATTCCATTTTTCATAAGCAATTAATATGTATTTATGTAAAATTCAATCAAATAGCCTCATAAGTTATTCACGAAAATAATTACTTAAATTTATTTTACAAATACGATACTTTGCCAATTAAATTTAATAAATAAAATAAGTAATAATAATTTAGTAAATACAATAGCTTTTATTTAAATATCTAATATTTACCAAAACTTAAATTGATTTGAACGAACGAATGAAAGAGGGAGGAATATCCCCTAAGCATTTCTTAAATTCGTTCCTTCAAAACAATTTAATTCTAATTATATATTTTGGGCAAGAAGAATATGGCAAAATTGATCACTTTTCCAAATTCTTCTTTTTCCAAAGGAGGGTGATGTAATGCGATAAAAGCATATAATTTGCAACCCTACTGAATTACTACAAACTACCTTATATGAATACGCCCTAGGCTAATCTAGTACAATTAAGAACTTAGAATTTACGATATTTGAATGCGACCCTGTCATATGTATGACAGCTGCTAGGCTTATGTCAAAATGTGAAAAATATATTGGCGGCATTCGCCCGCGTTCCTTCAACTCGAACACAAGCACTTTTTCTTTAAATTAAATTCGCCCTGCTAGCCACCAAGGCATCGGTGCAGTCAGCAGCTTCGGGCAACAAACGTTTGCCTGCACCAACGCAGCCCCAAGCAGGCGTTGGCCGGAATCAGAGCCGGCGGAGCACCAGGGCTCCGCGAGAAGCAGCCAGCAGCACTGCCCTTGACAAGTCGGGCGTTGGCCGGCATCAGCGCCGGCGGAGCACCAGGGCTCCGCGTGAATTCAGCAGGTACGCCCGTTGAATTAAGGAAGTGGAATTTTACCACTTCGACACAACCAATCGCTAAAATCTATTATTGATGTTCTTGGAGTAATAGTAACAGCATGTCTTGCCCACTCTAGCCTCCGTTGCACTGGTAATTTAAATAACATTTCATCCATGAGTGTTGTATTACATAAATGATGATCACAGTCTGCAGCTTTTATGAAGAAGCTAGATTCTGCACCTTGGTTGCAAACGGTATCAAGGAGTCAATTCGGTTGCCCGCAATATTGGGTACATCACGGATTTTGCTAATTTGACTCTTCACCAGTAAATCCGGACTACCGAATCGTTCATTCAAAGTCTTCATCACCCGCGAGACGTTGCTGCTTTGGATCAGGAGGCACTCGTCAGTATCCTTGGCTTTCCCCTTTATGGCCTTCTGCAAACGAATCATGTTGATCATGATCGTTGTACCTGTACTCCTCAGATGTCATGTTGAATGCTTCGCTGAACAATGACCAGTATTCAGGGCGCCAATCAAATTCGTCGTGTAGTTTGCGATGATGATCTGTTTTATTTATTGCAATTCAACCAGTACTGATGACAATGTGGACGCATTTCCATCATTGTCCATATTTATGGCTGACTGTGGAGTATTAGCACCAGGCACCTGGCTTTCCCTAAAACGACGGTTGCTATTATCTAGTTCGACCTGTAGCGCATTAATTTTCTCCATCATTTGACTTAACCTAAGTTCTATGGCGTTGCTGCTTGCTATATTTTCAACAACCGTACCGTATTCCCTTCTAACGACCTAACCTCTGATGCTTGAACTCCTACCCTACCACCAAATTCTCCCAATCACTTCTATTTTTCTTACCTGACCACTTCCATCGCCGCAACCGGTATCCAATACCGCGGTCCCGCTGACTAGTTGTTGTTCACCTTATGCTGCCTTTTAATTTGCCTTGTTTCTCGAAACGCAGTGGGCTGCTGCCGTTCCTGGTGCTCGTTAACTCTCGTCTCAATGGCTACAGCTGCGTCTAGTCGTGGACATAGACGCTCAACTCCTTGTGACCACTTTACTCCACGAAGCAAACCAAAAAGCGAAATAAAAAATTTGTTGCAGTCGCGCGGGAGTTGAAACTAAGAACTAAATTCCTTGCTTGAACGTGGGTACACGAGTTTTATTTCGCTTTTGTGCGTCCTCCTGCTGCTGGTGCGACAAAGAAATGAATTGAAAACTTTTTAAATGATTTCCCCCAGTGACATTTCAATAGGGTTGCCTTATGGATTTAATAACATTTACTACACACGGTCACAATCCAGAGGCAGGAGCAGGCATTCACACTAGCAATTAATATCAGAAAATATATCATCATTCTCCACAACATCTGCCATTGGCAAATGAAACTCATATAGAATCGGTACATAATTTTTCAGATGTAATTTCATTGCCTGTTTGTATAGAAAAAGTCAGAACTCACACTGACAACGACCAAATTTTATCAAAAGTTACAAGTTACGTTAGAAGTAATTGGGCGTCAAACATTGTATCAGACACATGGTGTAATGAACTGAAGGTGATGCATTCCCGAAACCGCTACTTTGGTTTTGCCAACTTTGACCTTTATGGCAATAAGTAAACAAAATTTTTGCTTACAAACAAGTGGCAAAGGGAATTGTGAATTTCAAGTGAAAATCGCGCTTTTTAAAGAAAAACCAGTTTTATTCCATATAAACACTTTGTAAAAATGTCGTGTCGTGTGCTTAATTGCAGCAGCCGTAGGGGTAAAGGCCCCGAATGCAGTTTTTTTTTTTGTTTCCCCAAGACGACGCCTTGGCCAGAAAGTGGGTAGTGCCGGCAGAAGAAGCCATACAATTTGGACACCAGCGTAATATGCATTAAGCACTTTACGGATAAGGATTTCATCGGTAAATATAATTTACTTTCATTACTTATATGTGCCGATATCTAATGAAAGGCTTAGGAATTGCTAGTCGACCATTGCTTCGCCGCGAAGCTGTGCCAACCATTTTTGAGTGGGGAATAGATCCTGCTGCGGTGTGTGAGTCACAAAATTACAGCATTCAGGAGGTCCTTGTGCTGCAAAATTGCGAAGGTAGCAAACATTATGCGAGTACACCGAGCTCGCTACATTGAAACGGGAGTCCGACCTGCAATTGAAGAGGCACGCGTGGAAAATGGAGTCACTGCAAAAACTTTAGGATGGAATGGCTGCCGAAATGAAAAATGTGGAAGATGCACTAGTTTCCATCTTTACCAAAGGGCAGATAGCGAAGCTGAAGTCTGGGTCGAAGCGACGAAAATGGCCGGAAGAGAATATTGCGAAGTTAATATCGTTGTATGCTGCCAGTCCAAAAGCATAGGTTGCTATATAAACAATGCCTTCCACTCCCATCGGTCCGCACACTTCAGAGTTGGGCACAAAAAATGGACATTTCGCGCGGACTTATAACCCCAGTCTTCCGGTTATTGGCAGCCGCCACCCATATGAACGAGGCACAGAAGCTATGCGTGTTGAGTTTCAACGAAATGAAAGTAAGACAATCTTACTGTTATGATTTTTCGTCGTCAACTACGTACAGGTAGCGATGTTAAGAGGGAGACATTACAATCAAGATTTTTAAAGAATATAAAACCTTTATAAAGACGTTTTATGTTTCAGGCCTCATGGCAAAGTGGAAACAGCCAATCTTTTATGATTTTATGTTGCGAAATCATTTCCTTGATCAAGGTTTCCTAATTAATGGGAAACCTGTGAAAAAGGAAATAATTTTGGAATTATTCAGCCCAATTCTTAATGTTCCCGGGGAGTGTGTTCTCTCAGCGAGTAGCATTTTCCGCGAAAATTTGGGAAGAGGAAATTCGGGCTTCAAAAAAAAAACTGTTTGACACTTTTTTGACAACTCAACTCCGTCAATTAAATAAAAACTCTTCAGGGAATTTTTATTCATGATAGGAGGAAAGGGAAAAGAGAGAAAACTCCCAGGGATTTTCTGTTCAGAATCGGCCTGATAGTCAATTACAAGCGTGGACTTGACAATAACTCACAAGATTTCTGCAAGTAACTTGACCGTGGCTGGAGCTCACCGCCAAAAGATCAAGACGGCAGCGAAACTATTTTCGCATACTGTGGCGCAGACCATAACAAGGGCAGCAAGTCTGGGTCATTTGCAGAACCAAAACTGAACCGAATGCTTGCAGTTATTCAAAACAGTATGTATTATTATATTATATTATGAATTTGTTATATTATATATTGTGGTTGTTCACACTTGCCTGGTTATCATGTTAATTGGTTAAAAATTATTATTCTGTATTGTATTTTATTGTTGTAAACGGAATAAAAAATATAACCACATAACCAGATAACCTGATAATCAGGCGGGCGTGAACAACCACAGTATTTCACCATATTACATATCGTTACCTTAATTCACAAATTGATATTATTTTCATAATGCTTTTTGCTTAAGGTAATGATATATTTAAACCTCAATATTAAAACTCACGTTCAAATTATACTCCTTAGACAAATTACTGGTTTGACATTTTAAACGTCAGGGTGCCTCACGCCGACTCCAGGAACGCTGTCTTGCTTACGGTTTAGCGATCGAGGAACAAAACAAGATCCTAAGCGAGATGATCGAACTAGTCAAAAATATGAGGGTGCTTGGCAAATTTAGTCTGCTGCCATTCCAAAAAGGTGAACTAATACATATGTTTATCTCAAGAATAACATTAAATGTTTGTTATTTTTTCTTACTCTATCCCTAGGAATCATTCAAAGTAATACGGCGTTGAAGTTGTATCGACTGAACCAAGACGTACTCGAAAATTTCTTCGGGATTATTCGGTAAAAAGGCGGGTTACATGGTCACCCTGACCAATAGGAGTTCAAGTACCGTCTGCGACTATACCTGCTAAGACACAACAGGGGCGTATTATTTGATTCTGCTAATGTAGAAGAGGATGATACGCCAGACATAGAAATCACGCAGCCTCCGCTTACAAGTAACTTAAAATAAATGTCTATCTATCTCATTCAGCTTAAATATAAAAATGTATTGTATTAATAATTACACATATATTTTTTACCATATTTATTGGTACTTTGCTGAAGAACTAAAGTTCTTATGCAGAACTATGGCCGGTTGAAGAAGCGTAATTCGAGGACTTAGAGCTAGACGGACTCGAGCATTTAGCGGGATATATTTGCCACAAGTTTCAGGACGACATTTCT